TCTCACTGTGTTGCCCAGGCTGGTCTCAAACTCCTGGGCTCAGATGGCCTCCCAAAGTGCTGGGATTACAGGGGTGAGTCACTGTGCCCTATCATTTTTTGTTTCTTTGGTGTACATTGATCCTTGGTGGTCAATTCCCTCTCAACTCTATAAAATGCATGAGTTTATTGCTAAAGACAGAGGCAACACAACTACACACTTTGCTGTGTGTGTGTGTGAAATGAATAACAGATGCAGTGGCTGATTTTGGACAGACTTTGAAAGAAGTGATGGTCATTAGTTTTCATGTATCTGTCATGTATGGAGTGATTTGTGGACTAAAGAGCTACTAGCAGCGAGTATTTCTACTTTATGCAATTACTCAGTTATTACTTTGGTAACTGAAATGTGAACATTGTTGGTGAGAAACTTATTTAATTACATCATGATAACTGAATTCATGCATGTTAGAATCTGTACTGGGGACTCCTAAGTTCATACTTATTTTTCAATGAATGGGATTGTATTTATTTTAAAGCAATATGAAGGAGGCTGAGTGCAGTGGCTCATACCTGTATTCCCAGCACTCTGTGATGCCGAGGCAGGATTGCCTAAGCCCAGGAGTTTGAGACCAGCCTAGGCAGTAGAGCAAGACCCTGTCCCTACAAAAAACTTAAAAAAAAAAAAAAAAAAAGCCTAGCCAGGCATAGTGGCATGCACCTGTAGTCCCAGCTAGTTGGGAGGCTGAGGCAGGAGGATTGCTTGAGCCCACGAGTTTGACGCTACAGTGAGCTATGATCATATCACTGTAATCCAGCATGGGCAACAGGGTGAGACCTTGTTTTTACAAAAGAAAAAGAAGACATAATGCTACCTGCACCTTGAACATCCTTTATTTTGAGGGTTAGAATGGTAGAAGTGATGTAAATGAGTTCTACAAAGGATATTTCTAAAATTAAGGAAAGTGATTCCATATGTAAATCTTTGCTCTATAATAAAAAAGAAAAACACCGAGGAAGTAAAAGCTAGGGGGAGGCCATAGTTTTCAAAGCCTGTAAAAGTATGTTGTGTTAATAACTTACTTTTGGCTTTAGCTTTATCAGTGTGAAATGTTGTTAACCTGTGTTCTCCTTTTGTGAAACTCTGTGTTACTTGCATGATTCAGTCTCTAACTGCTTCTGAGCCTGTTACACATTATCCCCATGCAATAATATGGCATGAATTATGAAAGAGGACAGAGTAAATATTTTTGTCTTCTTGACATGTGACCTGTGTGACCAGTTGTTAGTTGAAATTAGTTTATAAAAACTAAATTATCTTTGTTCTACATTACAATCTTAGTATTATATGAATCCAGAAATATCCTTTTCATGTGCCAATAATGCTACAAGAAAATGTGAAAATAAGTTATTCTTTCTGCTAAAGATACTATATAGCTCTCAGGCATTTCTAACTTCCTTAAAAATAAAATATGGTTTCTAAACTGGAACGGAGAGAGAAAGGGCAGGTAAAATGGCTTACCACTCTATCAACACAGAGTAAAGCCCAACAATTAATGTGGCCTGCCTACTCAACGTACCACCTACACAGAGCTTCCGCCTATGCTAGAACTTCTCAAATGTGAACAACCAAGGCTTGCCAGATATTAAGGAAAGAAACCCCAGCAAAATAATCCTAATCAAAGGGGATTATCAGATTATCGTGTTATATTAGGATAATGTTTTAATTATATGGCAGGCAATGTTCTAAGTGTTTTACGTTGATTAACCCAATGCTGACGGGAACCCAATGAGGTAGATACATCTATATTATGCCAGAGATGACACGGGAAATACCAATTAAATTCCCTATGGTCAAACAGCAACTAACCAACAGAGCCAGGCCCCAGAGTCCACGCTTCTTAGCTTCTACAATACTCTACTGCTCAAACATGGGAAAGGGGAGATCAAAATGCACGGACTGCAGAAACAGAATGAAGGGAACAGAGGGAAACTTTATCAAAAAAATTAGAATTATAATCATATCCTGAGATATAAGAAACTGCATGTAGAGAATAAAATGATATGAAAAATGACCAATTCGAGAATAAGGAACTCTTGGGGGATAAATGAAACGAAAGCTAAAATACGTATTCAATAAAATGATTTTAGATCGGGCACAGTGGCTCACACCTGTAATCCCAGCACTTTGGGAGGCAGAGGCAGGTGGTTCACCTGAGGTCAGGAGTTCAAGACCAGCCTGACCAACATGGTGAAACCCTGTCTCTACTAAAAATACAAAAATTAGCTGGGTGTGGTGGCGCATGCCCGTAATCCCAGCTACTTAGGAGGCTGAGGCAAAATCACTTGAACCCGGGAAGTGGAGGTTGCAGTGAGCCGAGATTGTGTCACTGCACTCCAGCCTGAGCGATGGAGCAAGACTGTGCTTCAAAAAAAAAAAAAAAAAAAAAAAATTTAAGAAACAAAGAAATCTCTCCCCCAAAAGTAGAACTGAAATACAACTTAGAAACAGTGCCTGTGAAATTCTAAACTTCTAAGGAGGAAATTCCTATCAGCCCAAATTAAAGGCAATTTCAGAAATGCAAGGAGATAAAAAGTTTACCTCTTATCTTCCCTTTCTTAGTAAGGTACCAAAAAATGGTACACAGCAAAAGAAGGCATATGCTAAGATGGGAAAATACGGGATTCTGGAAATAATGGCACCAACTTAGAAGGTCTAGAAAAAAACGGACAGTTGTGTGGCGTAACTAGGTTGTAGGAGAAAAAGTATAAAGTGGGTAAGATGATAAAGCATCTGGAAAGAACTAAGAATACAGAAGGAAAATTAGGCAAGCAGAAGAATGTAAGGTGAAAGTTAACTGGAGGAAAAACCAAAAGCTGTACCACAAAGAAAATCACAGTGGCTCACGCCTGTAAAATATGGGCATTGAGCTTTACGGGGATTGATTGTAATATAACTACTTAGAAGGATGAGGCATAAGAAATGAGGGAGGTGTCAGTTAAACCATTTATCACAAAATGAAGGCAATTTGAACTCAATGTCTAAATTATCAATAGATAGCAATGCAAAGTAACTTCTCAATCTTTTAGTCTGGACTATTTAACCAAAGGTATGTGTTCCTTTAATAATTTTTATTTAGTTTATTAAAAGAAATGTTTACAACATGACACCAACAGAAGGGATCACAGTGTGTTGTGAAATTGTGAGTCTTCATTCCTTTTTCTTGGTTCTTTGTATTCAAAGATGCTGTTTAGTGCGTTCTGTTCTTCATCTTCTCTCTCGTTCGTTTTCCAGGTCTCTTCTACAGAAAAAGATATACCACATCTGGTCACATAGCAGCTTGCCTTCTGCCCCAGGTGAGGACGAACATAACTGAAGGGAGAGGGCAGGGTTGGGAATGGGAGGGGAGGCTGAGCCTGCTCCTCACCCGGACACCTGGGCTCACTTACATTTGATCCTTTCTTGCCAGGCCTCTTGAGGCCTCTGCCATGAGCTGTCTTGGCCCGGAAGCTAGATACATCATCATAGCTCTCCCGAGTGTTCCACTTTGAACCTTTCTTCTTTCCACCAAAACCAAACTTCTGGTTTTTATACCGTCGTTTAGCACTGGGCCTGGAAAAGAATGGTCCTAGACATCACCCACAGCACTGTAAACCCTCATGAATTTGATGGCCCAGCAATGCTCTCAGTTTCCTTTCTATAAGCAAAGCACCTTAGGCACATCTGTAACCCAGAATCTCATCCTTGGCCCCACAATCCTATGCTACAACCTCTCTAGACAAACTCATCTAGCTGGTTTATTTACAGTTCTGACCACCAGGGCAGGAAAATAAAGCAAGAAGCAGGGAAGGCTCTACATGTATCATGTGGCTTCCTGCTGTCTTTAGAAACCTTTTTATTTTAGGCCTGGTGTGGTGGCTCACGCCTGTAATCCCAGCACTTTGGGAGGCTGAGGCAGGTGGATCATGAGGTCAGGAGATCAAGACCATCCTGGCTAATATGGTGAAACCCCGTCTCTACTAAAAAAATACAAAAAATTAGCCGGGCGTGGTGGCGGGTGCCTGTAGTCCCAGCTACTCAGGAGGCTGAGGCAGGAGAATGGCGTGAACCCAGGAGGCGGAGCTTACAGTGAGCAAGATCACGCCACTGCACTCCAGCTTGAGTGGTGGAGCAAGACTCTGTCTCAAAAAAAAAAAAAGCAAGCTTTCTATTTTAACCAAATCTTGCTAAATCACCCTCAGTTGTGTCTATTCCTCTCAAGGGTAAATACATGCAGTTCACATCCAAATCTAATGTCACATTTGTAACATTCAAATGTAATGAAATGAATACATTCAAATGTAAACATTCAAATGTAATTATAGGCATTCGAATAACATTCAAATGGAATAACATTCAAATGTAAAACTGATCATCCAATAGGAATCTTGAATTCAGCATCTCCAAATTCATGTCATCTCCTGGACTGGCTCTACTTGCTGTACATATGCCCTCACTTGAGGCTGGCACTGCTCCCACCAACCCAGACACACAGGTCAAACATGTGAGAGTCAGCCTTGGTTCTTCTCTCACTCTTTATACCCAAGTCAATTACTAAGTCCTGCTCATTTCACCTCTTCAATGTTTCTTCAATCCATCTTCTCTTCTCCCTCAGTTGCCACTTTCAGGTTATTATCATTGCTCATCTGGACTTTTGCAATAGTCTCCTTGTCATTTTCTCAGCTTGCCTCAAGTCTGTCACCTATACAAAATCCACTGTAATCTTTTTAAAAACATGAATATAACCTGCTCATTATTATTAGTACAACCTACAACTTAGTCTCTCTACTGCCTTCTAGACAAAGCCCAACCTCCTCAACAAGGCAAACCCACAGCCCAAGTCCCCCCAGCCACATCGCACCCCTCCTTGCTTTGCACTGTATTCCCAGTGACACCAAGGGCTTACTGTTCCTCACAAACCCCTGAGATTTCACATCTCGATGGCTTTGCTCTTTCAGGCTTTCACTTCTTTCCAAACCCAGCTTGTCTTCTATTCTTGTGGTTAATTCCTACTCATGCTTCAAGCAATGCTCAAGTCGAACCCTCCTCCAGAAACCCATCCCCAGACCCTGTCAGGTATTTATAAAAGCTGCCTCAGTACTAATCCCCAAATGCCTCTATCATAGCACTTACTATCTTACATGGAAATTATCATTTCCCCTAGGCCTGGTATCCAGGTATGCAAAAAAGTGGACTAGAAAGAACAATGAGAGCCCACATTCTCTCTTTTAATCTTCATACTATGAGGCAGACACTCTTTCCTCAACTTAGCAGATGAGGCAATTAGCATTTAGAAAGGTATGGTAACTTGTTCAAAACTGCCCTCCTACTGAGTGGTAGAGTCGGGATCTGAACCCTAAGTCTGAACTCTCGACCATCACACTGTGTGATGAGGAATCAACTTTTACTCAGCATTCACTTAAAGGGTGCCACATACTTAAAAGTACCTTCTTGGGATGGGTGCAGTGGTTCATACCTATAATCCCAGCACTTTGGGAGGCTGAGGTGGGTGAATCACTTGAGGCCAGGAGTTCAAGACCAGCCTGGCCAACATGGCGAAAACCCACCTCTACTAAAAATACAAAAATTAGCTGGAGGTGGTGGCGGGCACCTGTAGTTCCAGTTACTCAGGAGGCTGAGGCACAAGAATCGCTTGAACCCAGGTGGTGGAGGTTGCAGTGAGCCAAGACTGTACCACTGCACTATAGCCTGGGTGACAGACTGAGACTCTGTCCAAAAAACACAAGTTTAAAAAGTGCCTTCTTTTACTCTTCAAAGACTGGCATGGCTAAAAGGGCCCATCACACAGTGCTAGGGGTCTCGGCCAGAGGCAGCAGCTGCACTGTCTGGACTCTATGGCTGTCCTGGTAGAGGTGCTATGTCTGCCATCCTTGTGACCTGTGGCCCCATCACACCTCACGGGATCCAAAGAAACCATGCCAGAACACTTCTCACCCCTTCTTCATCTGCTGGCCTTTGGCTCCTGCCTTCGTGCGCTGTGCCAGAGGTTTCTGATCTCCCTCAAGGAAATCCAGTTTATCGGAGAAGCCTGTAAGTGAAGAAGTAATTGTGATCGGCACCACTGTATTTTAAGAAGAAAAGTTTAAACCACCATATGAGGCTATTATTTGCTACACTGATTTTAACAGTCACATCCTGCTCTCCAACACCATTCCCAACACCTAGATCCGATAGGTCCACATCAACCAAGAAGGCTCCAAAGCACTAAGTGTTCAAATCAACTCTAAAGTACCTGCTACCCTTGTTCCCCTAGCACAGAGATGTACCAACCTTTCTGATACTTCTTAATAGCATTCATCATATGTGCTTTCTCCTGCTGCCTCTTCTGAAGAACCTCCGTTTGCACCTGTGATATGAACACAAGGACTGTTAACAGCTATTCCATACCATTACTCCAGTATCTACATTGTCTTAAGAGCAACACCATGATTAATGCTGCTACCCTTTGACATTTACTATGTGCCAAAAACTGTGTTAGGGACTCTAAGTATATTCTCAGATCTAGGTATATTCTTCATAGATGAAGATATATCTGTCTCATAACAATGCAGTGAAGTTGAAATTTGTGTTATCCCCTAAATTGAAGCACAGAGAAGTTAACTTGCCCAAGTTGCATAGTGAAAAAGTGCACAGCTGAGATGACCCAGGCTGTTTGACTCCAAAGCCAGCACTCATCCTATTATACAATCCTGCCTACAAAACTGAAGCAAATCATGTTTAAGACTACATCAATTTTCACATCGCATTTGGACAGATTATTTAACTCACTGTTACTAGGCATGAAAGTAACCAAAAGGAAGAGAAAAAAAAACAATGTCCCCAGGAAAAGAAAAGAAAAAAGTTTGAAGGATAAAAGGAGACACTTTATAATACTCTAACAGAGGGTTTCTCAATCTTGATACTGCTACAGTGTGGAGAGAATAATTCTTTGCTGGGGCGTAGGGGCCTGTCCTGCACTGTAGGATATTTAGCAGCACCCCTGCCCTCTACCTGCTGGATGCCAGTAGTACCCTCCCTCCCAAATCTGACAACTAAAAATATCACCAGGCAGTCATAGAAAACTCCTGGGAAGCAAATTCACCCCAGTTGACAACCTCTTCCCCAATGTTTCCTTAAATTAGGAACAGTGAACTAAAAGGCCCAAGTGAGTTTGTCTTTGCTTTTGGTAATTTTGGTTATGTTAAATTACTTATTGGTGTCTTTGAGAGAATCTCAACCATCCACCTCCAGATCAAAGAAATAATAAATCCGCAGCAGGCCTTCTGTAGAGGACAGGATCCCAGCCTATTCTTACTCTGCTGAGAATGTATCAGTGAAATGACCCCAAATGTGGACAAGAGTCCTGCAACCCAGATCACAACTGCTTCTGTCCAAATGTTGACAAAGTCTTAGCATCCACGCCAATCTTCCTCACATTCATGTTTTTCCACAATCCTAACTTTAAAACCCGTCATCTTCGTTCTTAGATGACCATGAAATAAAAAAGGAAAACCAAGAAAAGTTTCAGGGTATGCCTGATCTGGTGTTACATTAGAACTCAGACATTCACAGTTCAAACACACAGGTAATCTTTCAGATTGGACGACAATCATTAGGATAATTTCTTCAGGGACATGATTATCACATAGGCCAGTGAGTCCCAAACCAGGATGCATTTCAGAATCGCCTGGAAAGCTTTTGGGGAAGGGGGAAAACAGACACAGATTCCCGGGGATTCTGAAGTCTAGAATTCTGTTTTGAAAAACTTCCCCTGATGATTTTGCTGTGAGGTCAGGTTTGGAAACCACTCATCTGGACCCAGTGTATAGATACGAAAACTGAAGACCCGAGAGGTGACTGGCTCGCCTGCAGTCACCATACTACTCCTGGGGAAGCATTCATGTCCACGCAAGACTGTGCTCATGAATACCAGCACATACACTGAGAGACGGTAAACACACGATCAACACACAGCTCCATTCAGTTCAGGGGACCGCGTCAGACCACAGCAATCTCATCTAACACACACACCCCGCCTCTTCCTGTTCCCTGCACACTTTCCTTCTCACCTTCTTCCCGTATTTCCTAAGTGCTCGCAGTTGTTTAGCCTTTTCAGACCTCTCCATGGCAGCCTGTTTAGTCTGCAGCTTCTGTCGAATCTACAACACAAAATGCTGTCAGTTTGTTATTTGAATCTAGAACGACCACTACTTAGGATGCACTAGAGCAGGGAACAGATATTCCCTGTTCTTTAAACTGTGGAACTTGTAAATCATCAATTCCAATCCCTGAGGACAATGGGGCCCACAGGCTGAGCACTTTACCAAAAGTGTCAGAGTGAAGCCAGAGATTGAAAGTCACCTTCCCACTCCCAGTGTGCTGTCTGTTTCATTTTACAAACTGCCTATCTGAAGCCCAGGAAAGAAGACAAACTTCTCCCCATTTCTACCGTCAGTAGACTGAGGCTGGAAACCAGTATGCGACCTCAGTGTCCTTTTCTAGTATACCACATACACAATAAAAATCCACACAGATATCAGGTGCCTAGCCTTTTCAGTCAAACATACACAATTTTAGTTAAAGGACGAGAAGTTGTCAGTGAGAACTTGTACAGAGTTCACAGTGAGAAGGTGAACTACTACCATGACAAAAGCTCCCTAAAATCCAGTTTGAGACCCCAGGGTACTATTTAAATATACTCATCCCTCAGTATCCATTAGAGGATTAGTTCTAGGACCCACTACAGACATCAAAATCCACAGATGCTCAAGTCCCTTATATAAAAATGGTGTAGCGTTTGCATATAACCTACACTCGCCTCCAGTATACTTTAAAGTCAGGGGACCTCAACTCCTGGGCCACAGACTGCCATGAACCTGCTATGAATCTGTGGCCTGTTAGGAACCAGGCCACACAGCAGGAAGTGAGTGGCAGGAAAGCGAGCGTTACCACCTGAGCTCCACCTCCTGTCAGATCAGCGGCTGCATTAAATTCTCATAGGAGCCCAAACTCTACTGTGAACTAAGCATGAAAAGGATTTAGGTTGTGTGCTCCTTATGAGAATCTAATGCCTGATGATCTGAGGTGGAACAGTTTCATCCCGGAACTATCCCATCCCCCAGTTCATGAAAAAATTGTCATCCACGAAACCGGTCCCTGGTGCCAGACCACTGCTTTAAATAGTCTCTAGATTACTTATAATACTGAATTCAATGCTACGCATCATGTCATTCTCACAGATTCAATGTTCTCAGCGCATGGCAAATTCAAGTTTTCTTTTTCCAACATTTTCAAATTTTTTTCTCAAATATTTTTGATCCGAGGTTGGCTGAATCCACAGATGCTGAACCCATGGCTATGGAGGGCTGAGTATATCTTGGTTACATGCTGGCAATCCCCTCCTTCAGAGTTAAATGAGGTCCAAGTTCTACCCAATTCTAAATTGTACTGCATCTGAACCATCTAAGAATCCCTCATTTTATAGAGGAGAAAACTGAGGCCCAGAGAAAAGTAATTGTCTGCAAGTTCTAGCACTACCAGTGGCAAGGGCACAAGAATGCTGTCTTCTCTGCACACCATGCCATGACCAAGCCAGCTAGGAAATGCAATGGGCCATCTTCACCTCAAGGACCACACTTCTCACAGCACTGTTCCTCTCCTTAATTGCTGATTTTAGAAAAAATGTCATATGCATCTAATTGGTGGTAACTGGCATGACTCTGAAGTAGTCAATCTATGGAAGAGGTAATAATTGTCCTCTGACAACTGGCTCCCCATTATTGGGCTCACAGCTATCTTTCTAAGCCAGCTGAATATGCTTAAGTACAAAGTTTTGGCTTTCCAGAGGAAAACTTCTATTTCTTACCTTCTGCATCTGCAGATCAGACTTGGCCATTTCTGCAAAATAATCAGTGGGTCGCTTGGTAGGGACTTTGAGCTGATGGAGGCGGGGTAAGACTGCAAGCACTGCGGCCTGGGCTTGGCGGTAGCTGAGAATTGTGGGACAAAATGTGTAATGAGGTGAAGGAGAGAGGCCTTACGTTCCTTTTCACTGCCTCTCAAGAGTTATCCAAGCTCAGAAGGACTCTCAAAATCAGACCTCCATTAACAACAACAAACAAATAAAAACTGTCACCAAACCTCACTGATTTAGTATCTAAAAGAAATGTAGACATATACCAGTTTCTAAAAAGGGGAGGGGCACTGCTAAAAATAGTTTAAGAGAATGACTACTCTAAAGGTACCCATTAACACAAACTAATGTCGATTATGGATTCTTACGTAATTACTAAAGCAATTCCACACAAGAACATCCCATAAGCAATGTTTTGTTTTTTTTTTAACTGAAGCATGCACAAAAAGCTTTAACATGAATATTTCAAATTAGTCCATAAACTGGACTTTGAATCGTGACTGTGGACCAAGGAGCTCTCCTCTCAAACAGCGAGAATCTCCTAGCTATTCTTAGTCAAAAGAAGCCGCTCTCCCTACTCCTAAGCTTATTCTGAGTGCAGGCTTACTAATTTCCCCTCTTTGCCACTCTCCTGCACAAGGATCCTCAACTTCTCCAACATTTGAAAACATACAAACTCATCTCTCGCTGGAAGTCGTCTTCTGGATCAACAGCTTTCTGGTCCTTGATCTGAGGTGTTGGCGCCTCAGATCCACCGATTTCCGGCACCGGACCCAGCGTCACATCGAGTCTTTCAACCCATTCCAGATCCCGCTTGAATTCTGCCAAACATTGCTTCAGGCCATTCTAGAAAATCCAGACACTGAGCTCATAAGAAGGGGACTCTGAGTTTGTTCTTCCCAAGCACAGGCTGTTAGGCGAAGGGACAAAGCGCTAATCCCCAATACGCAGACAGGTAATATAGACCCTCTTGGCAAGGCTCAGGGTGCATCTTTTCCTGGGACAAAAATCGGTCTCCCAAGCCCAACAGCGGCTGGTGCGCATCCCAAGTCCGAGTACCCCCGACCCTGTGCCCGCGCTCACCACGTCGTTCACGGCCTTCTTCGGCCCCTCTAGCACGACATTGAGGCCTGGCTTCAGAAGCCCTCGGGAAAACGCATCCTGCAACTGCAGGACACAATCACGGTCACTCCCAGGGGTGTAAGACCCCCTCTCCCACGACCAGCCCCGCGAGCTCGGCTGACACTTACCTCTCTATCTGTGACAAGAGATTCATCGGATTCCGACTCCGAATCCGAGAGCGGAGGAGTGTCCATCTCGCGGCACGGACGTCCCACACCTACAGGAAGAAGCGGGGTATCCCGAGACCCAAGCGGTTAGCAGAGGGTGGCCCTGGCCGCCGCTGCCTGCCTTCAGCCCCCTACTCCCAGGCCGTGGCTCCACGTGCCACCGAGTCGCACCAGGGCGAGCAACTCACAGCTACTGCTCAACTTTTGATTGGGACTTCCGCTTCCGGCGGCAAACCATACTTCCGGTTTGTCGTTGCTATAGGAACCGCCACAGCGTTTGAAAGTGCCCGGGTTGCTTAGGATCCGCACAGGTAATGCCTGTGGATACATGCGTGGTCTGCTGACCCAGAGAGAAGTGAAAGGTGGGAGAGGGTACCTGGGGGTCGCCAGAAGGAGCTGGTAGCAGTGAGGGTACAAAGGAAAAGGCAGAAAAAGGAGCCGCGGCCATGGGGTGGCGCCCAGGAGGACCCCAGGGAAGGGGGAAGGGGAGGGAGAAAGGGGAGGGGCAAGGGGCGGGGAGGGCGTGTCCTGGATGCTGGGCGGGGCGTGTCTGGGCCGGGGGCGGGGGCGGGGCGGAGCGGGGCAACGCTCTCCACTCTGAAGCGCTGCCTTGGTGGTTCAGCAGAACTCTTTGGCGGGAGATCATGTCGGCCGTGGTAGCTCAGACGCTGCATGTTTTTGGTCTTCGATCCCACGTGGCCAACAATATCTTCTACTTCGACGAACAGATCATTATATTTCCTTCAGGAAATCACTGTGTGAAGTACAATGTGGATCAGAAATGGCAAAAATTCATTCCAGGTAAAAACCCTTTCCATCCTGACATATACAGGAATGGTATGTGCCATATATAACCCCATAATCCCAGCATGATGATTGGAAAGAAAGATTTTGGCCAATTTGAATATATATGCAGTATTATAAAGGTAGAGGAAATAAATGGCGACTTGTATTATGAAACTAGATTAATCAGTCACGCATACGTAGTTAAAATCACATATAAAATGTTAATTTAAAAGTACTTTTTTCACTGTAATTTCAGGAAAATATGTTAAGAATCCCTTTTTTGGTATCTTCAATATCATTGCCTTTGTCATTACCAGAGCCCCTTTTTGAGTTGTCTGACACAGTTTTCCTGAGCACACCACCTTCATTTCATCACCTTTTGAATCCATGTATGATGAAGACACTGTAAACTTTATCCCAAGTTGCAAATAACCATTTGTATAACATTACAGCCCTTATTTTTGTTCACGGTGGTCCTGTTGATGATATTCATGATTTCAACAACTGAATCCATTTTCCCATTTTTTGTTGCATTGACACCTTTTATTATTATATACACACGAAAGAATGTACCCTACATATATGTAATATTTAAAGAATTACAATAGAATGTAGATCTGTGAACCCAGCCACCAGCATAGGAAATAGAATATTACCAGTTCTAGGGCTTCTCCCTGTATTCTGTGTCCTGCTGCATCAGTTCAACATCATGCTTTTGAGATTCATGCATCTTGATACATATAACCAAGTTCATTGTATTGCTATGTAGTGTTCCATCATATGAATATAATGTCTCAAATATATGTATTCACTCTAGTGGTTAGGGACATTTGGGAAATAACAATCATATGCTATTACAAACTATACTACTATAAACATTCTTGCATGCGTATACATTCGTCTATCTGTGCAGATTCTCTAGGACACACGGCCAGGACTAAACTTACTGAGTAATATGATAGTACCAATTTACACTCCCACCAGGAGTGCATAAGAGTTCTCATTCCTCAGCAACCCTGCCAACCCTTAGTATTGTCCAACTTCCTAATTTTTTGCTAATCCAGTAGTTGAGAAAAGGAATTGTGGTTTTCGTTTGCATTTCGCTATCATTAATGATGATGAGTATCTGTTTACATGTTTATGGGCTATTCCTATTTAGTCGTATGTTAAATGCCTTGTTCAAGTCTTTTACTTGTTTTTTATAGTTCGTTGTGCAGGAAATTTTTGGCAATTGTATTGATTTACATGCACAATTTATCTATTCTGTATACCAATAATTTGTCAGATACATATATGTCTTGCAAATAATTTCTTCCAGTTTGGGGCATTTTTCTCCTACCTTACAGTATCTTTTGATGGACAAAAATTATTAGTTTTAATAAAGTCAGATTTATCAACCACATGATATTCTGTTGGAATAAACTGTACTAAATACAGTTGACTTTTATTTATTAATGTTTATTTCCAGCATATTTGCTAAACTATTATTAATTCTAATGATTTGTCTACAGATTATGTAGGGATTTCTATACAGACTATCATATTATCTACAAATAACAATGGTTTTCTTCCTTTTTCTTGTGCTACCTGTGCTGGTAAGCACCTCCAGACAGTGTTGAATACGGGTGATAAAAATGGACATCTGGCCAGGCGCAGTTGCTCACGCCTGTAATTCCAGCACTTTGGGAGGCTGAGGTGGGCAGATCACGAGGTCAAGAGATCGAGACCATCCTGGCCAATATAGTGAAACCCCATCTCTACTAAAAATACAAAAATCAGCTGGGCGTGGTGGCACGTGCCTGTAGTCCCAGCTACTTGAGAGGCTGAAGCAGGAGAACTGCTTGAACCTGGTAGGCGGAGGTTGCAGGGAGCCGAGATCGTGCCACTGTACTCCAGCCTGGGCAACCAAGCAAGACCCTGTCTCAAAAACAGAAATAAAAAAGATCATATGACTTTTCAATATTAATTAAATTATGGTTTTATACAGACAACATTAATTTATATTTGCTGTCATACTTACCAAACTCTTTGCCCACCGTCACTCTTTACAAATCAGATATTCCAGGTGGGATCATTTTCCTTCTGCATTTACTGATAATGTGTTAATAAACTCTCCCAGTTTTTGTCTGAAAATGACTTTATTTTACCCTCACTTCTGAAAGATAGTTTCAACAGGTATGCAATTTTTATCAACACATTATAAATCATATTCCATTGTGTTTTTTTGGCTTCTGTTTTGTTGCTGTGCTTAAGAAATTAGCTATCAGCATCGTCTTTCTGTAGATGATCTTTTTTTCTGGATGTTTAATGTCTGTCTATGGTGTGTGTGTGTGTGTATATATCTATACACATACACTATATACATATATATGTATAAAATATGCACCATATATACACACCATATACATATATGTACATGTATATATGATGTATATATATACATATATATGTATACATATGTGTATATATATACACACACACACATAGATACACACAGACATACAGTATAGTTTTTATTTTCATTTTTTATCCTCTTAGGGATTCTTTGAGATTCCTGGATCTAAGGACAGGTATCTTTTTTGTTCTGTTATCTCCTTCTGGAACTCCAAACCGTCTCAACTCCATCCTCCACAGTTTTTTTCTTTTCTTTTCTTTTCTTTTCCTTTTTTTAAGAAACCAGGTCTCACTCTGTTGCCCAGGCTAGAGTGCACTGGCACAATCATAGCTCACAGCAGTCTCAAACTCCTGGGTTCAGGCCATCCTGCCCACCTTAACCTCCTGAATAACTGGGAATACAGGCATGCACCACCTTGACCAGCTAATTTTTTTTATGTAGATGGGGTCTGGCTATGTTGCCCAGGCTGGTCTTGAACTCCTGGACTCAACCCATCCTCCCACCTCAGCCTCCCAAGTAGCTGGGATTACAGGTACAAGCCACCACACCGTGTATATGTATGTGTGTGTGTGTGTGTGTGTGTGTGTTTGAGACAGAGTTTCGCTTTTGTTGCCCAAGCTGGAGTGCAATAGCTCAATTTCGGCTCACCACAACCTCCACCTCCCAGGTTCAAGTGATTCTCCTGCTTCAGCCTCCTGAGTAGCTGGGATTACAGGCATGGGCCACCATGCCCAGCTAATTTTGTATTTTTTAGTAGAGACAGGGTTTCTCTGTGTTGGTTAGGCTGGTTTTGAGCTCCCAACTTCAGGTGATACGCCCACCTCGGCCTCCCAGAGTGCTGGGATTATAGGCGTAAGCCACCACGCCCGGCCTGTAAATATATTTTTAAACATTTTTTAATGAAGGAGGGGGCCATGAAATCAAAAGTACCTAGAGCCCTCAAAAACCGTAATGTGACCCTGATTGCATTTCCCAAATAAAGTATTTACACTTTAATCTTTGCCTGAGGCTCTGTTTTCTAGAGGATCACAGCCTTCATTTTCATTCTTATTACCTCATGGTTGTGAGATGAGAGTTCTATCTCCAGATATCACCTCTAGATTTCGGGAAAAAGGGGATAGAATGCATCTGTCTGGTTTTTAAGGAAGCACCAACTTTATCATAAAGCCACTCTAGAAGACTTCTGCCTCCACCTCGTGTCCAGAATGTCACACACGTCAGCTAACTGCAAGGGAGGCTGAGGAATCCAGTAGTTGGCATCCCAGCCTCTGGAGGAGAGGAGGAGTGATGAGCCAGCCACTCAGGGAATAAAGGCCTCTATGGTCTGACCCGATTCCACCCCTTTAGGCCCATCTTTGGTCACCCCATCTCACATGCAGTGCCCCAGCAAACCCACTGCTTGCAGTTCTCGCACTATGCCGTACCCTTTGTCACATCCACCCCTTGGCTCAAGCTCTTACTGCCACCTGCCACCCTGCCCCCATCTCACCTCGCCCCCTGCCCTCCTTTAGGAAGCTTTCTCTGACTTCTCCTCCCACCTCATCCTCAGAGGTGCCTGCCCTAGTCAGTTTCTTTTGGGGACAGAGTCTCCCTCTGTCTCCCAGGCTGGAGTGCAGTGGCACGCTCTCAGCTCACTGCCGTCTCCGCCTCCCAGGTTCAAGCAATTCTCCTGCCTCAGCTTCCTGAGTAGCTGGGATTACAGGTACCTGCCACCACACCCGGCTAATTTTTTTATTTTTAGTAGAGACAGGGTTTCACCATGTTGGATAGGCTGGTCTCGAACTCCCCATCTCAAGTCATCTGCCTGCCTCGGCCCCCTGAAGTGCCAGGATTACAGGCATAAGCCACCACGCCTGGCGCCTAGTCATTTTCATAATGCCCAAACACAGCTATGCCAAGGCTGCCTTTATTCTTTCTGTCCACTCCAATGCCCACTACTGTGCCTGGTTCCTGTTGAATCCTGGTGAAAGTGTGATCTACTCTGATTATTTCCTTTTTCCTCTGTTTGCAGGCTCAGACAAGAGTCAGGGCATGTTGGCCTTGTCCATCAGTCCCAATCGTCGGTATCTCGCTATCTCTGAGACTGTGCAAGAAAAACCTGCCATCACCATTTATGAATTGTCATCCACCCCTTGCCGGAAGCGCAAGGTTCTTAATAATTTTGACTTCCAAGTTCAGAAATTTATTAGCATGGCTTTTTCTCCAGACTCCAAATACCTGTTGGCTCAGACATCACCTCCAGAGTCAAATCTTGTCTATTGGCTGTGGGAAAAACAGAAAGTAATGGCCATTGTTAGAATCGACACTCAGAACAACCCTGTCTACCAGGTACCTAGTAGTGTGACAAGTATCGTGAAAATTATAAAAAATAGAACTACTTTTTATTGAGTGCTGTGTGCCACAGTTCTGATTTCCTCCATGCATTTTTATATTTAGTCTTACAACCACCATATAAGGTATGCACAATCATTATCACCATTTTACAGATGAGAGAGCTGAGGCTCCAAGAGGTTAGGTAACTCACCCAAGATCACAGAGGTAGTGAGTAGCAGAGCTAGGAGTTCCCCAGCTCCAGCTCCTATCTTCTTTACTTTGGCCCAGAACTGCTTTCTGGTCACAGGTTTGGCCCAGAAGTGCATTAATAAAACTTGCTTTCTCTCCCTGGTCCTAGCCTCTTTTTCCAGCAGCATTGCCGGGCAGTAGGAAGATTTCCGAAATGTGATGTAAAGTGGTAGGTCTTTAGGAAGCTGTTGCTGAAGTTGCAGTTATGTAAGGAGCAGAACCTTCTATTGTGTCTTGAGGGCAAAAGGAAGAAGACCCCTCAGGAACCTGATTGATGGCTTAGGCAAGGGGTCCCAAGGAGGTTTGACATTGGTTCACTCACCCTAGTCTGGGATCTAGCACTCAATTCCACAAGTTCCATGACTCAGTTCTGTTCATGTTCAGGGATTCTAGCTAATCAGTGTCTCCCGCATAGACTCACTTATTCAACCCACAAGATGTTGATGTGTAAACCAGCATATTACAACCAGAACGCTCACATTATTTATCCAGTGTATTCCCTTCCTAGTAGTAGAGAAGTTGCGAGGTGAAATTATAATAGTAATCAGAAAGCTGCTGAGTGATTATTCCAGAATCAGACCAAAGGCAGGTAGAACCAGAAGAGGATTTCAACCAGGCCACAGTGAGGCCTGATGAAGCACCTCCTGCTCTGACTAAGTAGATTCAGCAACCATTTATTGGATGCCCATGATGAATTCAGCACTGGGAAAACAGAGATGAAAAAGTCACAGCCCTTCAAGTTGCTCACTGTCTAGCCAGGACAGCAGGTTGACTGCCTATTACTGTACAGGTAGTCCCCAACTTACTATGGTTAAACTTAAAATTTTCATCTTTACAATGGTACAAGAGTGATATGCACTCTGGAGAAAGAGGCCAAGTGATATACTTTCATGATGCTGGGCAGCAGCTGCAGCCACAGCCCCCAGTCAGCCACTCAATCACGAAGGTAACAACCAAGGTACTCTACAGTGTGGTGCTGTGTGGCCACATGGCTTTGCCCATTTTCAGCTTATGATGGGTTTATCAGGACATGATCCCATTGTAACTAGAGGAGCAGGTGTATATTGGGCTAACAGCTGTGGTTGAAGGATGTTCAGTTGGTAGGAGACCACATAGCATCCCCTGACATGTGATTTCTTTCCTCCTGGACAGGGCTATGTAAACCTATCAGACCCTCTTTTTCTGTGTTTCCAGCTGAGCTTTATTCCATTTTGTCGGCACTGGGTGTGGCTCTTGTCAAAAGCTGCTCATTCTGCTCTTTGGCCTTTGTAGATTTCCTAGTTTGACTCCTAGTTTGACTCATATCCCTATAAATATAATGGATAAATATACTGGATTATAGATGTGTCCCCTTATCAAATGCAACATAAAATTACATGATTTTGTGATGTTTAGGAGATATTCTGAGCAGCCTGAAATAAATATTAACTTGTAAAATGGGAAATAATTCCATCAAGATTAGTTTCATAAATTTTTTTCTTCAATTCTCTCACATTTTACAGGTCAGCTTCAGTCCACAGGATAACACTCAGGTGTGTGTCACTGGAAATGGGATGTTTAAGCTTCTCCGTTTCACTGAGGGAACCCTGAAGCAAACCAATTTTCAGAGGGGAGAACCCCAAAACTATCTAGCCCACACCTGGGTGGCTGATGACAAGATTGTTGTTGGCACTGACACAGGCAAACTCTTCCTCTTTGAATCTGGAGATCAGCGTTGGGAGACCAGCATAATGGTCAAAGAACCCACCCATGACTCAAAGAGCCTGGATGTCATCCAGGAATCAGAGAGGTAATGGTGCTTCCTGGGCTGGCACTCCCACATTCACTGTACTAACAGCATTATACAGAAGACAGCACTCTTTAGAAACCACACATAACCCCTCTGCCATAAAAGTCAACTATGCCCATTTTCCCTCTTCCTCTCGAAGAGTTTTCATCTATATTTAAGCACAACTTTAACAGTTATAACCATAGGCTAGCTACAATTCTTTTTATTTTTTATACCTAACCTCATTTTATAAGCATTATAATATGGCTGGTCTTCAAAACTATAGTTTTAGAAACATATTTTACAGTGACTAATTTAATGAGTTGATTCATGTCCACCAAGCCCTTGTAGTATACAAAAGGCATCTCTTGCTAGATGCTGGGGACACAAGTCCTCACGGAACTTGTAATTCAGCAGGAGGCGACAGACCAACAAATGCAAGGAAATGTTTTAGGTAAATCTGACAGAGGATGGGGTAAAGTGCAGTCTCAGGAAGGAGTGGTTATTGACCATGGTAAGAGAGATGCCACATTACCGCTGTGACAACCAGTAAAAATCATATCTCCTGTGGATTGGAATGTACCATTGCATGCACCAGACATTGCTTTAAACACTTCATAAATATTCCCATTTGATTCTTACCCTATATAGTTCATACTATTATCATGCCCATTTTGTAGACAAGGAAACTGAGGATCAAAGAGGTAAGTGGCCTATCCAAGATCATTGCTCTGAGAAGTGGCAGGCTCAGGATTCAAACCCAGATCTCTCGGATGCCAGAACCTGGGCCCTCAACCCCAATGACATCCTGTAGATTCTTCTTCTTCAATAACCTTCAATCCACCCATTTTCACTACCATCCCCCCATGCCAATGGCATATCCTCTTTTTTTTTTTTTTTCTTTTTTTTTTTTGTAATTAGGAGCTTCCTAAAAAGTCCCCATAACCTTCTCCAGGAGCTGCGTTCACAGTCCTTAAGCTCTGGGGTCCAGGCCTCCCAGAAAAAAGCCCAGACTCGTTGGCTTGGCCCAAGCAT